CTTGTTTTTTAATATAATACCTTTAAAATACATATTAATATTTAATACTCCCCCCTCCCCCCGTAATATGCTGAAAATCCACCACTTGTTCACAGCAATCGTTCTCCAATGATATGAGTGAATGATGAATTCTGATTAGACCATTGTTTTCAGCATAAAAAAGATGCAAGCGAAAGTGTACCACGCTCAACTAAATAGCAGCTGGTGTAGAGAGGGGTCACTGTTTAATGGGCGTGTTAAATTTGAATTCAATGATATAAAATCAATGTCTACAAAAAAAGATTCTGATCGGCCTGTCAGACTATATTACTAACTACTAAGCAGGCGTATATTTTATGATATTAGGTTTATTTCTATATTAACGTATTCAATTATTAGACATTATTAGTACCTATGATTCACTATACAGTCATAGGTTGAATACAATTTTGAAAATAAATTGCATTTAAAAATGTAATTGCTCCTATACATTTTAAAATATAATAATATTCTTTAAATGTTCCAAGTACAAACAAATAATATTTTTTAATTACAGCGTGGTATTAGTTTCTAATATATATATTTTAAAGTCTACTATTAGGCGATAGAAAATAGACGATCACAAAAAAAGGAAAATAATATAATACACATAAAATTAATAAATATTTATTTTACTGATTAATTACTATTTCTATACGGCTTTATGGTCTTCGACCCTGACATAATATAGTACCTAAATAACCTAAGTTATTAATCTATTATATAGACGTCTATTATTACGTCTAATGTTTTTTATAATATGTTAGTCTTGGTTTACTTGTATTAGTTAAATTATTGCAAATTTTTAAATGATTAAAACAAAACAGTTTTATAACACAAATTGTAACTATTATTTACAGAAATGTTTTAAGCATTAACATTATATTACTTATTAATGGGTATACTGAATAGGGTTCACACATTAGTATGCAATTTTAAATTCATATAGGTACTCATTTGCATACCAACAAATTTTTTTCAATAACAGTGTTACTGCATTAGGTACAGTGTAGAAAAAACTATTTGACAAAGATTATTACATGTGCAAAGTTTGATATATTTTTGAACAAGTGTGGAAGTTACTATACTAATACTGTACTGCGTTCAAAAAATAACATTGCAATTATTCAGAATTTATTGCCCATACATGCATAATTTTTGTCACATTCGCATTGTGTTATATATGTATTTATAAGTAGGTACACGCTGACATAATTATGACAGTATTTGACTTACAACTATTTGTTTCGTGTTACAACTTAAAATCCATTGCGGCCTATACAGAGACCATATAAACTATAATATATTGGCGATAAACGATTTAAAGTTACACTATATTCTGTTTTAAATATCTATTTGAACAATCTCATTATTCTGTACAGATAAAATAACAACTTATTTACTTACATCACGGCTGTGACGTATGAATCATTATAGCATGATTGACGGCTATTGGCATTCGGCTTACATTTGTTTAATATTTATGGGGACATTTAAATGTAACTTTGATTTGATAGTAGGTATGTCTACCTATATAATTATTAGTTACATAGGGTATTTATAATTTAAAAAAAACATTATTCTGTAACATTATGAACAATCAGCTATAGTGACAAATACCAACTATAATAAAGTCTATATAGGTATTTTTATACAATAGGTAGGCACATACTACATACCAGTATACCACTAACCACATACTACAGACGTCAATTATACACTTATACGTTATACACTCGTCTACTTTATCTGTGTTGCAACTTACAGGAATAAGTTTAGAATGGTTAATGATTAATATTGATTTTGTTCCATATTTACAAGTAATAACAACTTTCAAAAAATATTCAGTGTCAGAATTTTTATTTCAAGTAAGTATTACCATCGTATTATAATGATTAAAATTCTAAATGTGTAGCAAATTTGAATTTTACTCAATTGACAATTATGTTATACCTACCGGAAGCACTGCAAGTAGGGAAAACTCTAGAGCGGGGGCTCCAGAACAACCATTAACTATTATTTATCAATTAATACCTACAACAAAACAAAACATTTTATCCGGCAATAGTGTGAATTGTATGACAATAATAATTTAATATTATACTTGAATGATGGGCATTTGAGCCATTTGTAAATTATATTAACGGTTTGAAACTAATTTTGATTCAAATACCTTTAATCGCAATTCAGAAATATAATCATCACATTTTATAAAAATTATATGTAGTCAAATACATACAGCCTATATAGGTAATACGATTTGCCTAATAAATATCCCCAGAAAAAATAACCCCGGAAAAAATAACCCCAAAAAAAAACCCCCCCAAAAAAAACCCCAAAAAATAACCCCGTGAAAAAATAACCACGGAAAAAATACAATACAATTTCAATAATATAATAATAATTTAAAACAAATTTTCAATTTTTTCAGATCATATCTGATCAATATGGCCGTGCTCTGAATCGTTTTTATCGTAGGTAATCAATAATTTATCATTGAATCTAAAATCAACGTTATTTGTGGGAATATAACAATTGTACGTAGGTAAAAGGTATATTATACATTTTGTCTCATAATCTCATATGGGGTTTTTTTCCGTGGTTATTTTTTCCGGGGTTATTTTTTCGCGGTACCAATATTATAGGTACCTACCTGATACCAAGTATCAAATAAATAATAATGTCCAATTTTAAAGTAATTAAAGATTAGGTAAGTATTAGTGTATATCTGCACTTATTTAATAAACAATATAATATCTCTACATCAGACACTATTACCGTCTATCACCTTACTTAGTCCTTACCAGAACCCCCACAAGGGGAACTGTTGGATTTGGAGTACAGGGGTCCGTTGAAATGAATTAGTAATGTTTGAAATTTATGGGGCCAGCAAAAATATTAAGTACAGGCAAGGGCACCAAGCCACCAAAATGTGAGAGCCCTGGTCTTTACTGTTGTCGATTGACTGTTGCAACATAAATTTATTGTATAATTATAATATAGTAATGATATAATATTTTTTATAATTTATTGTATTCGCTTATAATTTATTAGTTACCTATTAGTTATTAAGTACTATATTATATACATATACTCTGTCCAGCCAAGCCCTGATTTACCAATTCACGGGTCCAGTGCAATTTAAAATGTTGGGACCCTAAATAATAAAATAAAATTGCATTGTTAAAACCATAATTATTTAATATAGAAGAACACTATACATTTTAGAGTATACTTAATAACGTAATATTTATATTAACATTTTTTGATATTAAAAATAGATACATAATATGCAAAATTAGATATTATTATACAAATTTTGTTAAAGTGTTCATGAATATTTTCTCGGCTTCTGTTCTGAAAACTCTTCAAAAATATTGTCAAAACCCAGATTTGCTGTTATATCATTTGTCGATATATAATATTTCTAGAGCATCTACATTTTTTTTTGGCCCAATATTGATCATAATCTATTTTTATTCTTTTCAATGATGAAAATGATCTTTCACAATAGGTAACGGGCATTCTAAGAAAAATTTATGCGGCCCTCATTTTTTTTTTTCCAGTTTTGAACCGACGACGCCGCAGGAACTGCTTTCGCATTGCTTCCGCGGGAAGTGCGGCCGTCATTATAAGTCGGAAAAAGAACTATAATTTACAATCTACCAAAATAGCCAACTGCAAAATCCAAATACCATAACAGTTATATGGAGTGGTTATCGACGTTATACTGTTATAGACGGTAGTAGACGACAGTTGTAACTTGTAGGTAGGCTACCTATTTGTCCCATTTATGTCGTGTATTCGTGTGATTGAGATCTGTCCGATACAGAATAATGCTTTTGCATTCACCGTAAAATATAATAATATACAAAACAAAAAATAAATAAATATGTAAATATTCATTTTTTTATTTTACTTTTATTTAAGAAAATCTACAATCTTTACAATTTTGCATAGTAAGTAGGTTTGATAAAATACAGAAAAATATACTTAACAGTGAGTCTAGGGAGATTACCCAGTGGCGACACCCTACAACAGGAGATCTCAAACTTATATAAATAAATAATAATGTACCCCTTTTTACCAATACAATTTGTAGTACCCCTTCACCCCTTCTAGGTTACTAAAATATATAAAAAAAAAATATTTTCTCTTTTTGAATTTAAAGGTTTTTTGGCGAAAAGTACCCCCTAGAAAATATTGACTATTGTGTACCCCCAAAGGGTACGAGTACCATAGTTTGAGAACCTCTGCCCAACAAGTTAATAATGTTAATTATATTTTTTTATAACATTTTTGTTAATCAGCCAACATTTTGTTTGTCCCGAATTATGATAAATAGGTATACAACTAATTTTGTTTGTCTGTTGTCGGTTGGCCCCATCTGGCCCTCTTTCAATTGGGCCCAGTATATATGTCCCATTTTCCCTTACATAATTATGGCCCTGTTAAGTCCAGCAAGAGAACCTGTCGCACCAAACTCGGTTCGTTTGCACATACCCAAGCGACACCCTGCCATCATAAGGGAACTGGCTTCAGTAGCTTGCAGAGTTACAAGTGGGAAACGTAGAAACGCTCCCTTCTCTCACAGGACAGATACATTCATCATTATTTATAATATTTATAATTTATACCTATTATTGTTATTTATATTTATATTTTATTAATGGTAATACCATAGAATAGAATAATACACCATTGTCCATGTTACATTCATAGATAATAAAGATATGGATAGGACATATTGGTCTTATCAGCGGTCTTCGAGGGGAACAATTGAGGACAAATAAAGAATACATATATTGAGTATCGACTATCAATATAAAGGAGCCTCAATTGCCTTCCCCTCCGGGAACGCGGCCTCAAATGTATTTAACATAGGCGTGGCCTATCCATATCTTTATTATCTATGGTTACATTATATATTAAGTTGCCAACTTGTTATTTGTTCTCAATTATTATCAGAAAATAATCTTTGGTAGATAATGTTATCATTTTTTTTTTTTATGAACTCGTGACATGTGAGGTCTGTTATGTGGCTTTTAATTTTTATATAAACATTCATGGTAAATTAGTAACACCTAATCTTAGCTACTTCCAATAATTTAATTCAGGTACACAGTCTTCAGTTTAATATTATCTTAAGTAGTTATATGTTTGCGTGTATTAAAAAATAAAATAATATAATATAGGTGGAAGTCTCATACATCAAATATGCCTAAAAAGAAAACTGGACAGAGAAAGAAAGCAGAGAAGATGAGGGCTCGGCAAAAAGGAATTAGGTCAGCAAAGGACAATTTGTCTTTGGCTAAACATCCTTGCAATGCAACAATGGTAAAAAAATTAAACTTTGTTTACTTTATACATTATAATGAATGTTATAGTTAACATTTTATTGGGAAATTGTATATGGTTAAAATAAAATAATTTAACACTGCTAGGTTATTATTAAACCAATTTTATTTTAATGAGAGTAATTTATCTAAAAATGTGACACTATTTATGGACTTTTAAAAAGTAGAGTGTAGGTATACATCTTGTTTTAATGTTCAAAATATTATTTCTTTTACCTTTTTTTAAAAAAATTATTGTATTCTACTATGTATGTAAATCACGATTATCTATCTGGGAAGATAACCGTGTTGTAAATACATATTATAGTACAATCCATTGGGTTTTAAACCCCTTTAGATGCACAAGTGTTCGATGTATAAAAGTACCTGTACAAAAACAATATCCAAAATAGGTAGTTTAAATTTAAAATTAAAAAATTAATATAGATGATATTTAATTTTTGTATTATTCCTATTATCTTTTTTAGTAACCACAATGTAGTTAGTTCTGTCTACCATGTATATTGAATAGGTATATAAATATTTAAACAGTTTTAACTAAACAACTGGTTTAGCTAAGTATTTTTAACTGGAGTTTTTCAATAAAATTATTATAAAAACAACCAATATAATACAATAAAATTAATTAAAATTTTTTCTTATTGATCCAAAATCCAAATAAAATAACTGACTAATATATTTTATCAGCTTAATTACTATATTCTATTCAAGATAAGTTTACCCTTTTGACCGACAAAATCTGGTTGAGTTTATACAACCCTCCCATAAATGTCATTGAATCTGAGCTCTAGTATCGACTATCGAATATTGTGATACCATAAGATGTATGCTCAGTGAGCGTAACATAATATACTGTTTACACAAAACTCATTATTAATGTCTGAAGTTTGAAAGTGGGCAAACTTAACTTCAATAAAGTATTTAATTGTATTTAATTTTTTTTAATATCAAATTTTTTTTCCAGGAATGTGATAAATGCAAGAAGTAAGTTTTACAAATATGTTGAATACCTATGGTATGGTATGTATACCAATATGGTTGAATGACATATACATTTATTTTTTTAAATTTTGTTGACTTGTTCAAAATTATATAATAATAATCAATGCTAGGTATTATGATTAATTTATTTTTGAATGTCAACATTTGGGGAATGAAGACATGCACCAGTAAATGTCACATTCACTAAAATTTGTGGCAAATATCAATTTTTTCTTAGATGTAGTCATTTAAAAAAAAAGATATATCACATTATTTTATTTTATATTAAATTACTTGTTGGAACAAAAAAATAACTCAAAAAGATAAACTACAAATTAACTATACATTTATATTAATATATTTGTTATAAATTAACCATTGATAAGCAACAACTGATGATAATTATAATAATAATTGATTGAGTCACTTCTTTTTACTTTAGGAAACAAAAAAATCGGGCTTTTTGTTATTTTTGTCAAAATTTACAGCGTTTGCCTCAATGTGCAAGTTGTGGTAAAATAAAATGTCTTATGAAGTCAGGAGATTGTGTTGTTAAACACCCAGGTGTCTATACAACAGGAATGGGACTAGTGGTATGAGTAATATAATATATAAGTACAATAAATACAATTATTTTTATAATAATTATAAATTCAACATTTAGGGTGCTATTTGTGATTTTTGTGAAGCGTGGGTGTGTCATGGTCGAAAATGCCTTACAACTCATGCTTGTGTTTGTCCCCTTCAAGATGCAAATTGTGCTGAATGTGAACGTGGAACGTGGGATCATGGTGGTCGTATATTCATGTGCTCTTATTGTTCAGCATATCTTTGTGAAGATGATCAATTTGAGCACCAAGCTTCATGTCAAGTTTTGGATTCAGAAAATTATAAATGTAATGTATTCAACTAAAATATTGAATGATTTATTAGTATAAGTGGACACCTGCCCTATACATCTGTAAATTGTTTCTCGATTGTCAGTATGACTCGGGCCACAGAAAAACAAAATTTTGACCACAAAAAAAGAAGAATTTTTACAAGTAAATAGGTTTGCCAGTAACTTTGTGATAAGCAATAAACACCGTCACTGTGTTCACCAACTACTCCACATCCCATCAATAAGCCAGATTCCATGTCAAGCCTAGCATAATTAGTATTTATAATCAATGGTAGAAAATATATTTAATTATGTAGGATTGTTTTGTGGTGGATGAATTGAAGTCAATGAAATGACGTACACCATGACCATGTCTGGGGACGGTGATATGTGTCAGCCAGATCAAAACTCATGTTGTTGATGATATACCTATTTATGATTGATATGTTTCTTACCATAACTAGCCTTTTCTTGGTTCTTCCTAACACAAAATAGTTTTTTTATGTAATTTCATGATCAAACAACAACTACCTACCAAAGGTATCATTTAAAAGTTACTTTGAATTAGTAATTAAAATTTAAAAATTCCTATTTCAAACTCCTTAAAAATTGAATATGTGGTCCCATTTTTTATGATGTTGTAAATTAATTTATACAAATTTTAAAACATAAGAATTAATTTTTAAAATTAATTACAGGCCAATCATGCAATAAATTAGGACAGTACAGTTGTTTGAAGTGTAAAGTGTGTTTCTGTGATGAACACATTAGATGTAAACGTTTCAAGTATTCTGAAAAAGATAGAAATTATCCATGTCCAAAGTGTTCTTATCCAACAGCTGAAGTCAGTGATTTATCATTATCTTGTAAGTATACTAATATACATTTTGTTTTCATTAGTTAGTTAGTTTCAGATTGTTTCTAGTATAAATAATTACGTACATCTAAATTGAAATTGATACTTTAAATTATTTTATTGATTAGCCTTAAACATATTAATTCAACTAACAATATTTAAAAATAAGAATAATTTGGAAACAGTAATTAAGAAAAATATTCAAATTCCTAGCAAAAACAGTATTTTAGTACAAATAAAAGTACTTCAAAAAGTATACTTTCAAGTACAGTAAAGTCTCACTAATCAGGACCAGATTGGACCGGCTCTATCCGGATTATCAAAAATCCAGATCAAACGGAATGACTTTTTTTTTTAACTTACTAATAAATATAAACTAAAAACACCTTATGTATTTATAGAAATTCAAAATTTATTGATTTACAATTTTACATTTCACATTATAATTGCTATTATTACGATAATATCTTAATCATGGGCATTCCCGAATTTATATATTGTACATGAGTACTCAAGTATGAAATATAGATTGCCCAGATTAGCGAGACTCTACTGTACTTACAATTTTTTTTACCTTAAAAATCAACCTAATCAAAGTTTTTTTTTAGCATTTTCATGCCTTACATTAATTATATGGAGCATCTAAGAGAGTATCATTCAGTGTAACTATAAATTACTCATCTGTTCTCTTTGTCAAGGTATTTCAATTAGCGGTTCAGATTTATTCAAAATAAAAAATATATTCCTTATAAAGAAAAATATATTCAATATTTTTTTTTTCAAGTGATTAAATTCAAGAAGTATAAAAAATATAAACTAAAAAAAAAATTATTTGAAAATTAATATAAATTTTAAATACAGATACTTTGAGAAAGTATTTAAAATACTTTATCCAGGGTGGGGCAGCAAAACTGAAACTTTCTTGATGATTTATAAAATACACAGACACACCACACACAATCTCTTAAACACAGACCGAACAAATAAAAAACAATATTAATATTAACGAATTACAAAATATACAACTATTAAGTATGAAAAAAAATTTTAATTAGTTGCCGATCTATTAAATTTAAATTTTATATAGGTTAAGCACTTTTAAGTACCTATTAGGATTACACTACCTAACAATTATTTTACTCATGTTTTCCAACTTGAAAGACCTTTGAAGATCTGACGGTGTGTTTTTATAAATATCTAATCTCCTTATTTTGTACGGGTCTTACTCATTAACACAATTAACAATGATAATTGATGATAATATGAGCAATTTTCAATACTATATATATAAGTTATAATTTATAATTTATAAAACATGTGCTAGATCATTTATTTATATTTTAATCTATAAATAATCAATATATGCATTTATATGATCAAAAATGTCAAAAATATGCGAAATGAGTTTGCATATTTGTAATTAATACTTCATAGATCAAATTTATATCATACTCAAGTATAATTCAGGTTACACAAAAAAAATAAGCAGTATGCTTGTCTTAAAGTCTTCGGAGTGCTATAGACATTTTTGTTATGTTACTATGATTTAAAAAATGAAAATTGAAAGTATTTTTCGTTTTTATATTTCTACATTTTTTTATATTGTTTTTTTTTGTATATTTTTCACTTTGTGATGATGATAACTGACAAATAACACTGAAAAATTCTGATTTTACTTTTATTTCTATAATTTTTCCTCAATTGTGAGTGATAAAATTTTGTTTTTGAATTCTAATTCTATTACCACCTAATGCGTAGTGAGTAGTAATATAAAAGTTGTTTATTTTTTTTTGATATTCGTTATATTAGTCGGGGCTGGCCACGTTGCAATATAAATATTTTAAATTTCCACCATTCTAATAATAATGTTGCAAAAACATTAAGTATTTCATGGTGTATTGATGGTTTCTAATAATACCGTCCGTGTGATCATACGATAATATTTGATTAGTTAATTCTCAGTAATGTTTGTTGTATTATTTCAACATTGTTTGTGTTCATGTATTAATGTAATTTATAAATTTGTTATGGGAAAAGATAAGTTCAGTTTAAAAAGTTATACATTTGAATTTGTTTATAATGTAAAAAATAAGTTTTTTGGGTGATTAAGGTGTACAATTTTTGAAATTGCTTTTATTTTTTTATTTTTTGATGGTTAGGTGCTTTTTGTCCCAAACCCTGCTCATGAGTTATAATCTATTTTTCTTTCTATTATATGAAAATGAAATGTAATATTACGTATTTTTAATAACTATAAATATTTATGATTACAGCTCGTAATCATAAATATGGCCGACAAACATATGAGGAAGGTGATGACGATGATGATGATTCATATGCTTACGGAGCTGGTAGTTCTGGAGCAAACTATGGAGGATATACATATGATGAAGGTATTTAATATTAACAATATGATTTATATTTAAAAACAAAATTAAATTTTGAAACTTTATTTTAATAGCTGAATATAGTGATGATGACGACGATGATTACTCTTCAGAAGATGATGATGATGATGATGACGATGACGATGACGACGATGAAGAAGAAGATGAAGATGGCGACAAAGACAAAGCAAAAATTAAAAAATAAATTATCATTATATATTTGATAGTAATTATATAAAAAAATACAAAATTAATCAATCTTATTAATTGTCTTATAATCTGTTTCTATCATCTATCTATATTATGCTATCATAATTCATAGTCTTCTGTTTTACAGCCCATGTTTCCTTTTCACAAATGTATTTTACAGTATAACTTGGACACTTAAGCATTTGCCAAATTGTTTTCTGAAGCCCTCAAGAATAAAATTAACCTTTTCAAGATCTCCCCCATCATAATTGCCTGTTTTACTAAAATAATAAACTTGTATCATGCACATAGGATAGACTTCATTGGAAGGTTACTCAAAACAAAAATTGAGTCCTCAAAAATTATTGAGTATTTAATAGTTCAGTAATAAAATCACCAATCATGTCATTAAAATTCAATATTTATTTGTAACTTTTTGTAAAAAAAATATTAAAATACACATTTTACCTGTATCTGTATAAGAATTGATTCTGAATAATGTAATTTATTATTGACTAGTGTTCTTATGATGGCTAAACAAAATGGAATAAATATCAGTGAAATATTTTTAAATATTAGCTATAGATTCTGTTCCTTACTATATGATTTTAAAACTTGTTTTAAATTTTGTATCGTCTGAAAGTTTTTATTTTATCAAGTCAGTACGAACTACAGACACACTATTTCCACTAAGTTGTATTACCTGTACTGGCTGTACTAAAATATGTTAAATTATATTATCATCCTAGTATTCTATGATAATTATTGGTCACTATTTTTCATTATCAATATTTTGCCTACATCTTGATCACCGCCATTACCTCAAATAGTTACTACCCACCAAAAATAAAGTTCTTATAAAGTAGGTACCACAGAATAAATTAAACTAGATTTTGTATACTACATTTTGGTTGTCTGTGAATGACCGTGATAATCATTATAGATAGGAGATTTTTCTGAAATTAAAAAAAAATCCCAATAGCCTTATTTTAGATTTTTAGCAGAGCCACAGATTATATTATAATCTGTAATAGTATCTACATAAATCACAACAACTGGTTTTCTGCACAACTATAGATATTTCCAATTTTGGATGAGTTACAAGTCAAATACAGGCCATTGACAAGAGAATAAATGTATAGTTTATTGATAGATAATTTTATGTAGATTTCATTTAAATGGTCAGCGTACTCAGTTCAACGAAAATTCAAGTCATTATCATAAGAAGTCTTAATATTTTAAATAGATTTTGCATCACATCTTAAAATTATGTTAACATTGTCACCTTTGTCAATTTCATATACATTTATGATGCCTTGAAAATCATATTTTATTCAAAAAAATTAAGTTTTTAAAAAAAGATACTTAATTTGAAAACATCGTACATTGATAATTGTATAATGTTATCACAACCGTAATACCTCAGAATAGATAAAATTTAATCTATTCTGTGGTAATAGAGCCAATGAGAGTTCTCGTCTTCTATAGACCTTATACTCATGATATAAGGTCTATGCCGTCTTCTCGTTCTCGATTTCCCATAGGTCTTTAGCAATGTACCTATGGTGTGCTTACATGCTTTACTGACTGACGGATCGAAATGTTCAATATCAATTTGTACAGCAGCTTAACGTGATATCCCTAATCAGATATCCAACTCTTGTAATCCAAACAGTTGTAACTTGTAATACATAGTCTGTATATCGAATTTTTTTTTATAATTTTTTTTTCTGAGTTTAGTACTTCGAATTTGTAATAAATGATAATAATAAAAACATTAGACGATTGTTTTCAGTTGTCATTTTTTGTATTTATATTTTATTGTACGTGACCTATACTATACATTTCCCGTGAAATGGACAGCCGGCATTCCGTTCATTGAAATATTCATTAAAATGTTTATTTCGATTTTTGACAAAATTACAACATTGTACTTAAATGAAACGAGTGAGTATATCGAAGCCATAGTAAACATAATTACATATTTGCAAGTCCTCTGGTATTGCCAACTCCAGTTTAAATCCGGATTTTCGTCTTTCACTTTTAGGTGAAAAAAAGCCTGCAGACAGAGAGTATACCGTTGTTATTAAGCCAAGCGGAGAGACAGTTCGATGGAGATGACTCCGATTGCTTTTTGTCCAGTGATGACATGACGCCATTTAAGAAGCACAACGTCTACTACAAAAGCAGATGGGCTAGGGTCTCTTCACTCCTTTTTTGTGGGTGAGTATTTTATAAATAACAATACTATAGCAATGAACATTGGTGGATTTTTACGAGTGTTTTGCAGTGTGTTTAGTTTGGCTTGGAAACATTAACTTTACTGCCAATTTAATGGGTTTATTTTATTATAATATTTGAGTATATTTAGGGTACCTAAAAGCTTGTATAAATATAATATTCAAAATACTTAATAGGTAAGTTGTGTTTTTAAATTTCAAAAATAGTAAGAAAAGTATAAATAAGTACATTTTACATCAGTTATACACTTACAATTTATATTACTGATTAGAGATTACTATTGACTAAAAATAGTGAATTCCAATTAACAACAGTAAACTTTGAATTAAGGCATAAACAAAACAATAGTAGTGAATAGTGAGTGTTACTGAGTAGTAACATAGAGTGACATAATAAACGTTATTAAGTCTCTGAATTATCAGTAATAATATTAGAAATACCTAGAAGTAGAATAGTATAAATAGCATAGTAGTATAATAAGTAGTAACCAAAGAATAGATTAAATGTAGTAACTGAAAATTAGACTGTTCCTTCTGACTTTATGTGTACTGCTGTTCAGGACATCAAAAAATGTATTAAATATCTACTTAAATTTGATAGTTTAACTATGTGAACCCATATAATATTAACTGAATATAAATTTTTTTTTTTCATATTACATGGTTACGTCTTTAGATGTTGTGGTTAAAGAATAATGACAGTGTCATTTTTATTGTGGTCTTCTATAAACCATAATGGGAATCATGGACAAAGATACATTTGAGGTGTATTATCTTAGTTTGTGATGATAGATGACCGATCTCACTAATCACTCGTGTCTCGTCTCTCACTTGTTATTATTAATTTTATTGCTATCAATGTTACAACCAGCAACGTTTGCGAGTGTAATTACTGAAATTTGAAATATCCCAAAATGCTCTATAGGCACTAGAGGGAACCAAAACAAATTATTTTAATTCTCAATCATTCATACATTTAGTAATAGTAGTAATACACTATGTACTATAGTATTGCCTATTGGTTATTGCATTCGCATAACTGTATAAAAATCTTGGAGAGTCAAAATAATTTATTCATCAAAATTAAAAACCTGACCCCCCTTCCCCTCGGGTTAGTCTTATTCATTTTATTAGCTTAGAAACAAATTGCAGGTGCTGGGTACCCATATTGTTAAATAGTATTAAGAACCTATATAAGAGTTCATTAATGAAAAAGTGCTATAAGTAGAGTTTAAGAAAATAACTACTAACTAGTATAGATATTATTTACATTTATTTTATATTTGATGAATAATAAATAATAACCAACGAATAACTTAATGCGATAACATTGATGAGCTGGTGAAGTTGGCCCTTCCACTATGTTAAACTATTTCATTGAGTATTGATAATACATCAACATATCTAATACTAAATACTAATATATGATACAAGAGAAACCATAAAATAAATGTAAACTTTTATGAAATAGTTTGAGGAAAAAAATTGTTTGATATTACAATATTATGCTAAATATATTGCATTCTTTCTTAGCTTAAGAATATTCAAAGATTTGTATTTTTGGACTATCTTATTGGGGGGGGGGGGGGGAAATGATACCTTTGCCCCTCGCAATGATGACACTGGGCTATTGGAAAATTTGTTTTTAAAGGTTAGAATAGTTTCACTTGTTATAAAAAAAAAACCGCTTGAAAATTATTACTATGCCTTATTTATTTACATTCCTACTAAATAAAGTAACAGTATAATAATAATATAGACCTAAAGTATTATTTTAATATGACTATAATAATTAATAAAAATATAACCATAGGTAATAAAAACCATAGATGTAACTCAATGCTGCCAATAATTTCGTATATTGATATTGTTAAGAAACATTTTTTTTATCTTGATTCCCTCTCAATAATGACGTATTAGTGACATTTCAGTGAAACCTCTAAATACCGGACACTCGGTATCTGAAATTTTTGCCTGAATAATTCAGATCTTTCAGATTGTAGAAAATTTGTAGTATGTTTCCGAAAAAAACGCTATTTGGAGTTGCTAGTCAGGGAAGGTTTCATTGTACAAGTATTTAAGTGATGGAATTCTCTAAAAATAAACATTTAATGAATCAATACTAAACTAATGGTCCTTAAAACAATATTTATATTTTATTGGCTCATTAAATGAATCAATTTTCTTTCTAGTCCGGCATCACAGCTTTAGATTTCTATAGACGTGCCTGGCATCATCGTCGTGCATGTTCGTATTCGAATCGCACTTGTTGGTTATTAATAAGACCTTAGTTATACAACATACATCTATTCATTATAATGTAAGACTTGATTCCAAAACATTGTTTTAATATTATAAGTATTTGAATAGTATAATATTTTTTTTTTTAATTTTTAAATATAATAAATTCCGTAATTGATAGGTTAAAGACAAACATGTCTTCATGTTTGGAAACTACAAGGTGAAACATCGAAGACTATATAGAGGTGCGTCATTGTGAATAGGTACCTATTATTTATATCAACACCTATTACTATATTTTAAAAAACGAACGCAACGCTCGACGTACCGTTTATACGGTTTATTCATTACTGGGTACTGACGAATTGGACTAAAATGTTAATTTAATATTATAAATAATATCAACGAATAATATTAAATAATTAACATCGAGTAATTGACTCATGACTCGTATTGGACGTTTTTTTTTTTTATCACGGTAACGGCGGCGTTGGTCATGGAATAACCGGCGGCGATGATAATGAAGTGGCGTAGTGCTTTCATGCCATGAATTGAACCTTGACATTCGCGCGCGTTGATAATATCGACTCGTTGGTCGTTCGGTCGGTGATTCGCCTGCGCCGAAGAACAAGAACGGGACTGTGTCCGTAGTTCTGTTGCCGCCGCCGCCACGTCCTACTGCCCCTCGGACCACTTCTCCTTCCCCGCCAAAACTACTCGGCACTCGTCGCAACGTCGCCGCTAAGCTGCGGTTCAGGCAGTTCACTGTTCAGTGGCCGTCCGATCTGCGGTCGAGCTTGTCAGTTTTTTTCTACATAGTCGTTGATCCGTCCATATCGTATCGTACGACGACTCTTTGTGAACGCTTTGAAAACGATTTGCGCGTCAACCGAAAAATAAATTAATACCTGCGGCGTAAAAAATAACGATCTTGATATTTTTCTCGTGGCCCGTTACCCTTCTTGGTGTGTGTACGATCTCATATTATTTTTTATTTTCTGCCGTGCGCCGCGTAGAGCTTTGTGTAGGTCGTCAACGCCGCCGCCGTCTATAACGGGCGCAATCGCAGAATTATGTGATTGATTTTATGGATTCGCCCACCGGTGCCGGTGTCTGTTTGGTGGAAATGAACTCGTCTTCATCCACGACCACTCTAACCGTCAAAGAGGACATTCCGCTTTTGAACAAGCCTCGGGAAAATAATAACGTCTTCAACAGGTTTGACACAAACACTGAAACACCTCTCTCTGCCACCCACCCATCAAAATCTCCCGTTGTCCGTATTGCGCAATTGTAAACGATGATTAATATCTGTTAGCTAAAACCTCATTTTATAAATAATTCAATAAATAAACATTTGTTATGTACCTTCCCTATTTGTCTGTCTCTTATTTATATCGACCCAGTCAGAAAATACCTGTCGGGAATAAATAATACAGTCTCCACAGCCTCTTGTAGGTTTTTACAACAATTATAATATTGCCCTCGATATTACTTGTTTCTTCTACATGTTTAGCTTTATTTTTCAACCTCCCTATATGTTGCAATGTTTGTCATTTCGGTGGCAGGCATGCTGATCAATTGTGATAATTTAACATGACATCACAGCCTTTAAATATACAAAATAGATAAGTTGTAGGTATCTAATAATAATTTATTATAAGTACACCTAAAAGTTTAAAATTTTCATTTGATAATTTTTATATTCATCCACATTTTCATGCATTAGGTAAACATATTATTTATTGTTGTACCTAATTAATAGGCCATATGTTCAAACTAAATTATAGGAGTACCTAATGCATTACAAAAAATAAAATACCCAGTTCCTAGAAATTATTTATAGGTACCTTTAATAATTTGATTCGAATAGGTATTATCATAGCATAAAATAAAATTACTAATATACCTAATCTCTTTTCCTCACAATATGTTTATTAATATAATATTAGGTACTTAACAATTTACTGACATTTTTAATTTTACTAATTTCTATCTGGATTTTATGCAGCAACGATCAGTTAAACTTCAGTGGTATTAATATGTATCCACTGTAGGCGAGTTAAACTGTAGTTAGTACCTAAAATTTTTTGGTTGATGGAAATAAATCTCCTATGTGCTAAATTTATAATTTTGAGGTTTTGGTATCTCCGGAGCCAAAAAAAGTAAGCTATTTATTGATAAAATATCTATGTGCTATCTGCATTGTAGAAGTGTAGAACTAATGAAAATTAATAAACAATTTCTCCTATGAGAAATACCTCCTATGTGCTATTTCCATCATAGAAAAATCCTCCAATATGTTACCAACTATAAATCATATATTAATAGCTCTGATGTGATTTTTTTAATTTAAACGTTTTTTTGTGTTTCTTGATAACTACACTTTTTTTCGTAGGAGGTTTGTTCCCGTCATCGACGACTTGCTTTTTATTTTTCCAATTCAAAATTTATCAAAATGTATTGGTCAATCTTTTTCAGGCATATTAATGTCTATCGCTGCAACAACATAGTTCCTATACATACTTATTGTACGTGGACATATATGAAAGTGGATAAGGGGCATGAATAGGCTTTGCAGGTTATATTTCCTCGTATTTTATGCATTTTAATAACGCTGTGGGTATCCTGGAAATAACAGTAACCTTGCTTCACGTCGCAAGTATTTTCAAATTATTAGGCTAATATCAATAACTATCTCTGTATATATGTAAAATAACTGAAAATTCTAATTATGTAACACAAGCTTTGATGATTAAAATAATTATATGAAATTGAATATGAGTATTCAAATCTATTAACTAACTAAACAAAACTTCCATGCCTAGATATCACTTATTAGTTATTGGAATTATTGAAGAGGTTATAATTTATAGGTGTTGAGTACTAACCATACTATATGTTATACATATGTCTTAATTTATTAAGTACTGATCTAAATTGCTTTCAACAATTTTAACAAACTTTCCACTTCTTGGTCACAAGACACCAATACTTGCATAGTTTTAAAATTGAATTCCTTGTTTTATTTTTCATACTTTGATAGAAGATAATCACCATAATAATCAAGTCTCGAGACTGACATTTGCATTAATATTTTGCATTTATATTTGTAAAGGACATATTTGAGACCTGACTTAAGACAAATCCATTTTCATGATATCTAGTTATAAAATTTAAAATTATATAATATATATATTATAAACAATTTTAAATATTCAAATATAAAACTTAAAATAAAAAAAAAAGTCTAAATTTTTTATTTCTAATGAAAATATATTTATTGTTTATGACAAAAAAATCAATAATACCACCCATGACTTATAAGTTATCTGCTCATTGAATTACATTTGTTTCATATATTATGTACTTTAGAAACAAACATTTTTGTGCCTAGATTCAAGTATAGGTATTTGATTTATATTTGTATTCTATAAAATGATATATTTTGACGTATTATTCATATGGTATCAATAAAATTATGTCATAATTTACATTCAATTTTTTTTTTAACATTTATTTGGAAAATATACAATCTGTAAGGTTAGTTTACAATAGGCATATATGCAGTGTTTATGTGTTTTTACATGAGTTTACATGAGTTTAAGGAACTACCCAACAGTAGTACTTATAGTGTGAGGGATTTTGTGTGGGTAATGAGAGTTATTAATTTTTTTTATGTTATTGCTAGGTCTCTGCACCAGATTCTTTTCAGCCTTCTTGGCGGGTCACCAGGTATGTTGATAGAGTCGAGGGCAAGGGTCAGAGGGTTTTAATGGTTTGCTAGATGGGAGCAAAATAATTTGTAGGATGATTTTGCTACCTCTAGAACTGTTTGGATATTTAAATCGGTATGAAGTGTGTGATTTGAGATGTAAAAAAATGCTTTTGTAATCATTTGTAATGTTATACATTGAAAACGTTGTATTTTATTAATATTTGACTTCTTAGCAGAACTCCATAGTTGGATTCCATATGCCCACATCGGTTTTAGCAGAGTTTTATATAATAGGAGTTTGTTTTTTAGGCTAATTGTAGAATTTTTACCAAGGAGCATATAGAGGGACTTTCGTCTGATGTTTAATTAGATTCGTTTTTTTTAGTGCTCGGCCCGGGTTAAACATTTATCTAGTGTTAAACCTAGGTAACGTACGTTGGATGTTTGAGGAATGATTTTATTGTTTAGAGTTACTGGGGGAACTGTATTTTGTTTGAGACTAAATGTGATGTGCTAGGACTTTTCATTGTTGATTTTTTCTTTTATTTACATCAAATATCATCAATTTAGTTAAAAATTTACCCCTACAGATAGTAGATACTACATACTACATACACCATCATATGATATTAATATTATGCTGCATTATCATCCTTAAACACCTCAATAAATAGGTACTTAATATAACAATACCTATGTCAATATGTATTAAAAGAAACCCTCGAATAAACCTAAATGTTTTAAATTCATTGAAATTTATTTAAGTTATATTTGTAAAATGTAGGCATAGTAATAAAAATAAAAAGTGCATATTTCAATGATACTTAAGCACATAAAGTCTTTACTCTTGATACTAATGTTAAATGATTGAATTGGTACTTATGTCTACTAAATATGTTGATTTGTTATAATATTTATTAAATTAAACTAGAATTGTTTTCTATCAGGTGGTTATGATATTATTTACATTTAGGAAGGGAGAAGATATGATGAATGTGTCATACACTCATACCCACACGTTAATCAATAAACAGTATTACAGTAATATGTGACTCGTATGTGATTATCAATATTAGTTCTTTATTTTTCTTTATGATATAAAATAATTCCCTATTCTGTACTATTTGTAAGTAAATTATAATAATTATGTTTTGTATAGTTCTAAGTCCTGTTTATGGATTTTTAATATTTTTTCATTTGTGTACATTTGAAAAGTGGACTAATATTTCTGTCATAAGCAAAACAAACTAATGTATGTACCTACTTTGTCTTATTTAATATTATGAGGAATGAAGTGTAAAATGAATTAAATGATAGATTATACTGAAATTACATTTATCACATTTTAATTTTGCATACAATTCATTATTTTAAAATATTTTGTAGATATCATATTATGTAACTTTATCTCTATGCATCTGATAGTTTTTTGTTACCTACTAATCACATGAATCTTATTACTTATGCATATTTTTTAATATTTAAAATAAGAAAATTTGATACAATTATAATTAATATACTATACATACATAACTACATGTATTTAGATAAATCTTATATATTAGTACGAAATAAAATCAAAATAGGTTCTTATTTTATATTTTTGTAGATCACTCTCAAAGTGAATCATGTTTCATATATGTTTATTGCTAATTTGAGGTAGAAATATGTTTAAATTTTAAATTTTAATATTTTTTACCTACTATTTAATATGATAATATTTTTGGTCATAACAGTAAACTAGCATTGAATGCACTTGCCCATACTTACCTCATTCAAATTTACTTTATGTAAATCGAACAAGAATACTTAGTATTCTAAAGTAGTAGAGCGTTAATATTATATGTACCAAATTTTTGTAAAATGATTATAAATAATAATATTTACATTTAACGTACTGAATTACCTAATTATTAAATTTGTATTATGCTTAAAAATATTAAATTTGAACTTGATATAATGTCTTGCATTAGTTACTCAGTATTATATAAATATTCTAATTATTATATTATTGATACTGGAAAATGTGTTCTAAAACCATTGTAAAAGAAATGTAAGACATAATATTCAACATATAAAAAAGTTCAAAAATATAATGTTTTTCTCCTATTTTAATACACACTACATGGACACACGGGATACATAAAAGTAGTTAGTCATTATAGGGATGACATTCAATTTGTCCAAAATTAAGAAGACACTAAAACTATATAGAATTATACTTAGTTAAGAAATTGGTTTAAAATAATACTAGGTATATTATATACAGTACACACAATTTTAAATAACAATAAATCGCCATGTGCATGAATAATGATGTCTGGACTTCTTTTTGCTTTTGAGTAGCTAGTAGCTACCACTCTCAGTCATTTGGGTGGTGTGGACCAAGACTAGTTTTTATCTGCTGCTCAATTATTCTTAAAATAGAGTTAAGTGAGCATCTGAATTAAACAAATTGACAAAATTCATAAGAATTTAAAACCAATTTCTTAAGGGGACATTGTATCCGTGTGTGTTATATTTCCATCTTACTAATGCTCAACATAGTCAATTTTACGTTAAGAAGGATCAATTTTACTCTGTCTTTTTTAATATTAGAGTGAATTGATCGATTGTCAATTTAAAAGTTAGGAATATTATCTAGCCTTCATTGGTTGGCTTAAGTTAGTTTTTTTATGCTTTCATTTTGTAGCAAGTTTAAATTATTTTAAAATGCTCATAACTTGCTAGATACTTCAAAATAAAATTAATCAAAATTGTACTAGGGATTATGGGTAATAAGCTCACCTTTAAATGTGATCAATTCATCCTCATAAATTATAAAAATAACAAAGTAAAACTGATTCTTCTTAAAATAAAGTTTACTAATCTGGTATGCATTATATAGTAAAGCAAATACAACACATTTGGTTATGTACTCTTGATAGAAACATCTAAAAAAGTATATTATATATTTATATTTATAATTACCTCGTATGTACAACACAATAATAAATGTATCTATGTAAAAATATGAATAATTTATTTTTATATAAGTAATTGCATTGTTTTTATTCCTACCAAACCAATAGTAAAAAATCATTTATGTACATACAAATATATTATATGTATTAGGTGAATATGTTAAAATAGGAAATAAAAGTATAAGAAATAATGACATGTTGTTTCATTAACATAAGCTCTTTGTTGGTATTTAAATACATTTTATTATGGTATTAATTGTTGTTTGATTTTATGACAAGCACACAAATCTTATTAATAATAATAATAATTTTATTCTTGCCTTATTTAATAGGCAAGAAAGAGTTACTTATTTGATAGTTTTAATTTTAGCTCTTAAAAATTTTTTTTTCCTGAGTGACCCTGCAAATTTTGTTGCATGTTTCCTTTTACCTGGTTAATTTTTATAAATTAGTCAACTTGGTATTTATTATAAAATATAAATAAAAAAGTTATGCCGCATGAGTTATATATATTATATTGTTGTGTGTTGTCTTATTTCAAATGAGGCTTCACCGGAAAGCTTGATATTCAACTCTTAAAATCCACAACTAATAAAAAATTAATAAAACTATTGTTATTGAACACAATAATGATTAGCTAAGGTTATAAGATTAGAATTCCAATTTCCAACTTATTTCTATTTGGTTGAAAGAATTTTTAGATAAATTATTTTTTTTTTTTGTTATCAAGTACCTAGGTAATACTAAATCACCAAAAATCCATTAAATGAATTTGTTTTTCCTATTATTTTAAAAGTTTGACAAAAGTACCTAAGCCATAATAGTGCTTTGACAAGTTTGTCGTATTTCATGGAGTTTGTGTCCTATTATTTCAGATTGTGACACATTCTCCTGCCTGTTTATATTTTTACAGTCATGACAGAAGAGAAAAAAAGTAAATTAAGGTAGGATCCCAATTTGGTATTTTACTAATATAATATTATAATAGCCTAACTATAAATTTTAAGTTAGGTATGTCAAGACCTAGCTGGGCTAACAAATATCAAAAAGGGTGAGCAAAAATTAAGAATGATAATATTTCCTATATTGTTAAACTTTTTAATATTTAAACGTATAACCCATTTAGATGAATTCTGTCTTCAGATATTCCTGAACAGTAGAATTTGTATTTTTTTTAAATTTAAATTTATAATATAGGACCCTTATATTTCTTTTAGAGATAAGATGTAATTTAAAAGTTGAATTTTAGATTGATATATGTACTATCTTATACTAATAGTGTTATTTGTAGATTCAAATCTTACATAATCATAATAAATAAATACTATTAGTATTTTTTTTCAATTTTTAATTATTAAATTTTAATATATTACCTATTATATATTTTATAAACATCAAACGATACGTTATTAAAATATGACCCTAAATAATAATTTATCATTAAACTGTTTCTCTACCTATTTATATTTTTTGTAATGTCTAATTGAAAACATTAAAATGTTTGAGTTATAGATTGATACAGTTTAAATTTTGATTAGTTAATTCAAAAACCATTATAGCTCACCCTTTTTTAATTTTTTTGTTTTGTAGTCGGCTATTTAAGGTTAGGTGATCCTAACCTAATCTTGTATTAAACACGACTAACACCACAATTTATATACATTTTTAATTTAAATTTTAAAAATAAAAATTGCTACAATTACATGAATTATTTATTTTATTTTATGATTGAAGTGATAGCGTGTTTATAACACATCAAGCTTATACTTAGTAAAATATTATCAATGTAGTGATTTGTTTTTAATATTTATGTTGATATATTTGCTTTTTTTTTATTAAACCTTCACTAACTTAAGGATATTTAAATTGCTTAGCTTTTTACATAAGTTAGCTTCTTGCATGTATTGTTTTGTTTTTAAATGGGTAATTTGATATTAAGTGCATGTTAAAAGAAAATTTATGGAGAATATAAGTATTATTAATAATAGGACTAGCAAGAAAAGATACTTAAGGACGTATCATACTTAAAGGACATTTCATACATTTGATATAGATAGATAGTGGATACCTTGATATCATTATATGTTGTAGGATTATTTACATAATGAACCTATCATGTTAGTAATACACTTTTTATACTTGTGCATACATATATTTTATACCTACTTTTTATTAATTTTGGTTTTACTACATTAAATATTTGGGATAATGATTAATTTTTCTCATCCTGTAATATTTTATCTGACTTTAACATTCTAAGATTTAAAATAATAGGTAAATATAAAAATAATAATTTTGGAAGTTTTTAATAGTTTCACATTTGAGATTAATAAATGTCAATAAAATATAAATTACTGTGATAATAATAATTGGTCATTATCAATAGTAAAATATAGTGTTGGATTATAATTAAATCAAAGTTAATATTAGGTCATAATTAATTTGAAATTATTTATATTGTAATACTTTTTATCTTATTTTGTAAACAATAAAAAATTGCATAATACCAAAAAAATATTTTGTTAAATTTTTAATTTATTTGTATAAAATCAACCAACATGTCTTGGTCTAGATTAATTGTTAATATTTCTTATCCAATGTGACTTGCAATTTTTAAAAAAATGTCAGTTATTACTCTTTTCTTACTATAAAGATTGAGCGTTTGGCTCTTTTTAAATAATTCTATTTGATTCTTAATTTTAATAAAATTTTAAAGTTTTAAAGACTTAAAGTTACTATTAAATAATAAATCCAATATATTATGAATATTTACCTCAGTATTTAGTTACTATATAAGTTAAATATTTAGACTTTTACTTCGAACTTATAAGGAATATATTTTATTGTTAATAAATAACTTATCTAAACAATTAAGATATTGACCAGTTGTTATTATCAATGCCTGAATTGTCTTTGACTGTAAAATATGTTTATTGAAATATGTATGGATATTTTATATTATTGTCTTATATATATACAATGTAGAGTATTGTTAGATATACATTTGTTTAACAGATTTTGACAATGGATTTGGCAAAAATGTTTCCGCAAGAAGGAACTTACTTCACGAACTATTGTCATTGGAAAACAAAGCACCGAAAAGTATTCCCCAAATGTCATACGCAATCAGAAGTACACCATAATCACATTCCTCCCAAAGGTTTGAAACTTTATTCTTTGATATTTTAACCAACTTATCAATTAAAACTAAAATTTAAATGTATTTCTAGGTGCTCTATCAACAATTCAAATTCTTTTTGAATCTTTATTTTCTTCTGATGGCTATGAGTCAATTTGTACCTGAACTACGATTAGGATACCTCTACACATATTGGGGACCATTGGTATAAAACTTTGTAAAAAAAAAATTATCAATCCTTACTTAATGTCATTTAACGTTGTAGATATTTGTATTGGCAGTCACATTATTTCGTGAGGGTGTTGATGATATTCGAAGGTGGCAACGAGATGAAGAAGTAAATTCACAAAAATACAAACGTCTAATACGTGGTAAAGATCACAATATTGGTACAGAGTATGTATCATCATCAAAACTAAAAGTTGGAGACCTAGTAAGTTTTGGTTTTTTTTGTAATTATTAATGAAATATAGCTAAAAGTTTTATTAAATTTAATTATTAGGTGCTGGTAGAAAAAGATCAAAGAGTCCCAGCTGATATGGTGTTATTAAGAACTACTGAAAAATCTGGTGCTTGTTTTGTACGGACTGATCAAATGGATGGTGAAACTGATTGGAAACTACGTCTAGCTATTGGAGACACTCAAAAATTAGATTGTGATGCACGTTTGTTTGATATTACAGCAACTATTTTTGCTGAAAAACCTCAAAGAGATATTCACAGTTTCATAGGGACATTTAGAAGAGTAAGAGAATCTATTATTTTATTAAAATTATTAAATCATTAATTTTTCATAATTTATTATTTAGCAAGACAACGGAGAAGAAGTGAGTCTTGATGTAGAAAATACATTATGGGCTAACTGTGTTGTTGCTAATGGTTCAGCACTTGGTGCGGTTGTTTACACTGGAGCTGAAACCAGATCTGTAATGAATAATTCTCAGCCTCGAAGTAAAGTTGGACTCTTGGATATAGAAATTAATCAGTTAACCAAGGTATTATTTAGTTTTTTTTTATTTACATATATTATCACATATTTACACTATATTTCAATTTTCAGCTACTTTTTTGTGCTGTGGTTGGTCTGGCCTTCGTAATGATGTGCTTAAAAGGTTTCAGTGGTCCATGGTATCGTTACATGTTCAGATTTGTATTACTTTTCTCCTACATTATACCGATCAGGTTAGTTTACAAAACTTAATTTATATGAGCAAAAATAATTATGTACTTGTTTTTTGTTTAATTTAGTTTGAGAGTAAATTTAGACATGGGTAAAGCATTCTATTCATGGTCTATGCAAAGAGATGAAGAGATGCCAGATACAGTAGTTAGGTGTACAACAATTCCAGAAGAACTGGGACGAATATCATATTTATTTTCAGATAAAACTGGGACACTTACTCAAAATTCAATGGTATTTAAAAGACTTCATTTAGGAACTGTTTCTTATGGTGCTGAGTCTTTTGACCAGGTAAGATAAATTTATTTATTCTTCTATACTTAGTGTTAAGGTATAATATGAATTATTAATATTGTTTTAGGTTGCTGAACAACTAAAAATGACTTTCTGTGGAACAGTTGAGCCTACACATAATCGTAATTTGTCTCAAGGGTCAACATCATTTAAGATACGACGCTCTGAGCAAACTCGTCTTCATGATGCTGTTAAAGCTATTGCACTGTGTCATAATGTGACTCCTGTTATTGAAAATAATATGCAGGGCAATATGTTAGTTTTATTTTTTACAGATAAATGATTGAAATAAATTTTGCATTTAAAAAAATATATTTTAAATGTTTGATTTTAGTACTGATAGTCCGGTCGAACTAAGATCTGAAGCTGATCAACACTATATTAAAGAAAGTCTTCTTTCTCGTTCACAGTGTACTTATCAAGCTTCTAGTCCTGACGAGGTATAAATTTATATTTGTTGAATTCTTATAATTTTATTTAAAAAAATTGCTTTATATTTGTCTCAGATTGCATTAGTAAAGTGGACTGAAGATGTAGGCTTAGCTGTAATAAAGAGAGATTTGACATCACTTCAATTACGTACATCTGCTGGAGATATACTTAATTATACAATATTACAAATGTTTCCGTTCACATCAGAAACTAAACGCATGGGAATAATTGTTAAAGATGTAGCTTCTGGAGATATTACATTCTATTTAAAAGGGGCGGATGTAGTTATGTCATCTATTGTTCAATACACAGACTGGTTAGAAGAAGAATGTGGAAATATGGCACGAGAAGGCTTGCGTACATTGGTAGTGGCTCGAAAAAATTTAACTGAAGAACAGTACTTGGAATTTGAAGTATGTGTTGTTTATCTACAATTCCAAATCATAATGTGATGACCAAATGTTATATTTTATTTATTTTTTTAGTCTCGTTTGAATTCAGCAAGGTTAGCTGTGACAGGACGTGCTCAGCGAGTAGCAACTGTAGTGGACACTCTAGAACGTGAAATGGAGTTATTGTGTGTAACAGGGGTTGAAGATAAACTTCAAGTAAATGTTCGTAGAACCTTAGAGCTATTGGGCAATGCTGGAATTAAAGTAAGATAATTTTAATGAAGTATAATTGCTTGATTGATAAATTTATATTTTATTAGATATGGATGTTAACTGGAGATAAGCAAGAAACTGCCACTTGTATTGCTAAAAGTTCTCGTCTTGTTTCAAGAACTCAGGAATTATTTATTTTTAATCCTGTACATACAAGAACTGAAGCACATCAGCAATTAAATGCTTTTAGAAAAAAACAAGATTGCGCCCTTGTTATTACTGGTGATTCGTTAGAAGTATGTTTAATAATAAAAATATTATCTTTAATCTAAAATTTTAATCTGAAAACTTTTACCTTTATTTTTAAGATATGTCTACAATATTACCAAACAGAATTATTGGATGTTGCCTGCCGTAGTCCAGCTGTAATTTGTTGTCGATGTTCTCCTACCCAAAAAGCACAAATTGTCACTCTAATTAAAGCGCATACTGGAAAAAGAACTGCTGCTGTTGGTGATGGAGGAAATGATGTTTCAATGATTCAGGCAGCTGACACGGGTATACAATAATTTGTTAATAATTGTTGTTATATATATTAGAGCAAATGCAACAATTGTATATTTTTTATTTTAGGCATTGGTATTGCTGGTGTAGAAGGTCGACAAGCATCTTTAGCTGCAGACTTTTCAGTACCACAATTTTCACACCTTTCTAGACTACTCATGGTACATGGTCGATACAGTTATAAACGATCTGCCTCACTTAGCCAATTTGTCATCCATAGAGGTCTTATCATATCTACTATGCAAGCAATATTTTCAGCTGTATTTTACTTCTCATCAGTAACACTGTATCAAGGGTTCCTTATGATTGGGTAAGATTGGAAATACACAGGGCCTATTTTTGTGAGAGATGCTCTACACTATGCGTAATACATAATTCATTATGGGTAGTAGTGTGGTCCTAAATTATAGTGTATTATTAATTTATTTATGACGGTAATATTATTAATAGATAAAAAATTATATTTAAATTAAATTGGCATAGACACATAGTTTTATTTTGTATTAAAGAGTATATAATTTAAAAAATAACAAAAACAGGCCTTGAATTTGTAAGTTAATTACAAGGATTATTAATTTAGTGGTTTATTGATTTCAGATATGCAACACTATACACCATGTTCCCAGTATTTTCCTTGGTACTTGATAAAGATGTATTGTCTAAAATTGCATTAACTTACCCTGAACTCTATAAAGAACTGAGCAAAGGGCGGTCGTTATCTTATAAAACATTTTTCATTTGGGTTTTAATAAGCATTTATCAAGGTAAACATATACTATATACACATATAATATTTTAATACAGTTTTTCAAATATTTTCTTTATTTTGGCAGGTGGTGTAATAATGTATGGAGCATTGTTTCTATTTGAAGATGAATTCATTCACATTGTTGCTATTAGTTTCACAGCTTTAATTCTCACAGAACTAATCATGGTTGCATTGACAGTGCGCACATGGCATTATTTAATGTTATTGGCTGAACTTTTTAGTTTAGCTGTTTATATTTTATCATTAATCTTACTCAAAGATTATTTTGGTTAGTATATGTTGCTTTTAACTACTTTTAAAATAAATACAAATTCGCTTATAACAATTTTCAAGGAACCTCAAAAATCATTTTCTTACATCCAACCTTTGTTATGCAGGGTGCTTAAAAAAAATATACATATTATATGTTTAAATTTGATGTGTCAGCATTAAAATATATTTTGAAATCTGAAAAATGTTCACACAAATTAGGTTGATTGTGCTCCAGCCTAGGATTGCTTATTCAATATTAATATTTTCAAAACGATTTTCATCCGAAAAATGTCGTATTTTTAACATAATCAGATAGAAGGTAAAAAAGAGACTAAGATGTGTATAACATGTTTGATTAAATAGCACTCTTTAAAGTAACTATAAATTAAAAATTGTATGTTACAATTAAATTAATTTTGATATTGTATCAAAGCTCATGTAAAAAAATAACAAATAATTGCATAGGACAAAATTAAAAATTGAGTAAGCATACAAGATTGTTTTAGATGAAAATAATACCAGTTTTTGTTAAAAAATGACATATTATTTCTGGAATACTTAAACCACCGTAATTGTAAATAAATAAAATTATTGTATATGAGGAAGAAAACCAAACAAATACATTGCTGATAAACATTTTACCCAAAACTTTGTTGTATTTGGCATTGTTATAAGCGAGTTAGACTGTAATTTAATTATTAACTTGACCATTTGTTTATTTGTTTAGATTCTCATTTCATACAAACCGAATCATTCCTATGGAAAGTCACTGTGATTACGCTGGTCAGCTGTTTACCATTATACATTCTAAAGTTCTTAAGGAAAAAGTTTTCACCACCCAGTTATTCTAAATTATCGTGAGCTTTAATTGCTTTGTAAGATGAATGTAGTCAAGATACAATTATAATTGAGGAAATTAAACAAAATTGATATACTTACATGGATCTGTAGTGTCAAAATCAGCTTCGGGATTATTTTTCTAATAACTCCTCTATTATGAAGACAAGTTATAATCTGTTTCTCAAAATCAATTTTAATGAAAAAAGCACAATTAATACCGAATAGAGTAAATACAACACTTAAAATTTATATTTTAATCATAAATATTTTTTTATTGCAAAATTATAGTACTATCGTCTTCAAAAATAATCTACTAATTGTAATGTTATTTTTCTGGTTTAAGTTAAAACTATTTAAAATTATTATCTTTTCTGTTATTTTTCGTTTTGTTTTATGGAATGTTAATGATTATCTATGACCGTGATTCATAAGTAAATCAATGAAGGATTCAGCTATTTAATCTGTAAACATCCTTTATTAATTTATATTTATTATATATTCACCCTTGCAAATACCACATTTTAAATGATTTAAAAACAACAATTTTAAATATTAATTTGCTCGTTTGAATTATAATACATTTGATGCAGGGTCTGTGTACTGCAGTTTATATTAATGATCTTAAGTTATGATAAGATTAAATGTATGTCACCTTTTAATATTATGTTAATTTTTTTGCAATTTGACTAAATCTTGACATAATTTTAAAGATTTGTAGGATTGCCATTCATCCTATTTAACCTGGTATATTGTTTGTTTTTAATAAAACTAAAATATTTTTAATAGATAATATTCAGTTGATCACATAAATGCTATTTTTTGGGGGAGGGGGGGGGCAATTCTTTTTATATTCATACTATCTAATAGGAAGTGAATTTTTTTACAACTGCTGTTCGTTATCAGAGAATGGTTATTTAATTGTACCTGTTTTAATCTGGTGTTAATATTTTGTTTTTACCTTGTTAGAGTAATAATGTGTTTACAATTTAAATTCCATTCATTGGGAAAATGCTTTCAGTGGGATAAGGAGAGGTTTTTATGATGTTACAATAATTATAATAATTTTGAATAACAAAAATTTGGAAACCCTGTTTACTTTTGAGCCTTGAGTAATAAATACTATTAACGGCAATAATACAAATCTTAAAATAAACAAAAATATATTTTACAGAATATAAATTTTTTTCCAACATTGTAGGTCTAAATTCTGAAAATAATTCATTGCTCAACATCATTTTAAAACTAGATATCCCATTTAAAGTGTTGAAAGATATTTTACATTGTACTGACTAATGTCTTTTGAACTTTATAATATGGTCAATATTTAAAAAGGTCAATTGATTGCACATCATTTTAATTATAATAAATGTTTTTCAGATATTTTAAAATTTTATTTCCCTAAAATATTTATATTAAGTATAATGCGTTTTGAATATATATTATGAAGCCTATTACTGAATAAAATAAATATATATGTTATAAATTAAAATGTTATTATTGAAAAATATAGTTTATTAAAAGTTCCTGAATTGACAATATCAAATGTGTGGTCTGGCATTATTTGGTTGATCTTGATTTATTTATTTATCTTCACCGATATTTGGATTAATTTTGTTCTGCTTATCAAATCATGCATACTAATTATTTTATACAATTTCATTCATTTCTAAGTCTTCATTAAATAAAGCACAGCAATTATGATGTGTTCGTATAACTAACTTAAAACTAATAAAGTAATAAAATAAGAAAAAAGTACTTATGTATTTGAGACGCCTAATTACAAATGTAATTCAAAAATAAGATTCAGACACATAGAAATTTAAATTTTGTGAACACCATGCTAATAATGAATTTATCTTTGAAAACTTGCCGATCATCTTAGTGAATAAGTAAATATTTTATTTTAAAGAAGAAGTTAGATGCATCATTAGAACTATTTATTTAAATTTTTAATGACATTTATTTAGTACCTTAATTCATGGTTGTGTTGTTCTATACGTTTAATTTTCTTTTTGTTATTATTATTTGTATAGTTGTAGTTTACTCTCACACAACTTGAAAATTAAAATGATTTTGTTACCCACCACAATATTTTGAAGTACCTATCCTTATTACATTTGTATTCATGTAGAAGTATGTTTCAATTTAATAATATTTTAACCTACATAATATCATATTGTTATGTTTAAGAAAGTATTAGAAAAATAAATATTTATTATTATGTGTAAGTTATGAATTATGATTAATGATAATCAATATTTTTGTGTTTTATAGTGTAAATTAAAATATATATATATATTTGATCATAACAAAAACAAACCAATGAGAATATAGTTGGTTAGTAATACCTATAATTGATACTTTGTGACACACATTTATATAGATCCATCCAAATGTCCTGCTTGGTTTACATTGGTTGATGTGACAAAACTGAAACATGACAAACTGACAATTTAAATTAAATTTCTTTTAGCATAAAAACAGCAATTTTAATGATAACATCTAACTATTGAAAAAACAGGTTTCGCTCCGTTTTTGTTTCTTCAGTTCATCGATGCCCAACAAGTACCTGCCAAAGCCTTAAAAGTGTCCTGCGGCTCTGTGTTTAAAAAAATCAATTTTTTTTCTTCATATTTCTAAAAATATTTTTCTATTTATAGATAAGTTAATATAATAATCAAGCTTAAGCATAATTATTTATAAAATATAATAAAATTGAGATATTGCATTGTAGAAAGTTTATCATAATAGGTGTTAGATACATCATAATATGGGCATACAACAATATAATAATGAAATATTAAATTAATTTTATTGGTTGCCTATACTGAGGCCATATTTTACTAATGTGGCTCGACGTAGATTAAAGGTCAAGCATTACTGTTCTAGCTAATATTAAAACAATAAAAGAATAAAATAAATAAATACCATAATATATAATTAGATTCAGCCTTCAGTTGTTCTTAAATAAGTTTAATAATAACTGATCATACTTCATACTTGTGATTTTTTTAATTTAAAACCTAACTTTTTTTTTTTTGTTATATACCCATGTGATATGTTCTTAATGTATTAATGTGACAATTTAGACAATTTTATCAAATTCCCATATAGGAATAAGTTTCTGATTTAATTAATATCTTGAATATACATTCAAAATAGTTTATAATGTTAAAATTATGTTCTATATTTTGATGTGAAGAAGCTGCTATTTTCTATCAACGATTTTATTATAAATTAGTAAACCATATAAATCCTCTAATAAAAGGATTACATATTCCGTCACTTCCTGGAAATCCCCGCCTCAGGCTGAAGAGGAAATAGTGTAGGGATCGTCTAACTTAACTATAATAAGTTATAAGTAATTACATAATAAATTAATAAACAAGCTATGTGCTACCCTAATCTCGCATATACGATATACTTATTGTGCTTAATAATATAGATTGTACATTTCTTGTAAAAATAAAAAAAATAAAAATATTTTGATGTGTTGAACACTTGAACCAATTGATCTTATGTAGAATTCAATAATTTACGATAATGTTTCATAATATTTAAACATGAATTTGATATAACTACACAAAAAGACGCGTGGCCTGCAATGTAAAAGTTAGGTACTAAATACTAATGCGATGTAGATACACCGTGAGTACCTACTAAACATTTGAATAAATGTATTATTAAAAAGTAAAATGGGAGCAGTGAGCATGTTTAAAAAATCACCATGAGTAGCTCAATCGTAATTGGGGGATGCGAGCTTTTAGGGATAAGCCCCCAAGGGCCAAGACCAACCGTAGCCCTCCCCCTCCTCCGAATTATTTGCATTTAAAAAAGTTTATTTAGTTTAAATTTTCAAATTATTTTGAGGTAGAAATTCATAAAAATTATTCTCTTTACATCTAAGATCTTAAAATTGAATAAAAGATTCCTTATAAGTTCGTGATTTTGTCAAAAACAAAAAATCCATCAGGAAGTCAAAATAAATATTTATGAGCTTTGGTTATTCACTTGATTTCTCTTACGAGTGATTTCCTTATTTTTTTGTAACTCAAAAACGATTAACGACAAAATGTTATTCATTGGTTATTAAAGCTTTAAGATTGAATACACAATAATATTGAAAAATATTAAAAATACCTACATAGGCACCATTTTTTATTTAAAAATTATAAGCGTGTAAAGTTCAATTTTGACAAAAGGTGTTAAACTGAAAATGTACAAATTATGTGGTAGTTAAAAATGTTTAAAACGTTCAACCTTTATATCTAAGGATTGGAAATTTAAAACAAAGTTCCACATGCCTAGTTTATTTTGTGACCTGCAAAAAGTCCAAAAATATATAGACTCAGCTTTTTTGTATACCTAATTATTTTAAGTTCAACTTTGAAATTTGTTCGAAATTACATATTAAATAGGTAGGTAACTAAGAATAATGATTTTAGTTATATTGTTGTAATTTAAACATACTATTCGTGGGTTCATGAAACTTTCTAAGTGTATTATTATAAATATGACAATATTCAAATAATATTAATTCAACCTACCGACTACAGTAGTAATAATAACAATATATTATTATATATTTATATGAAATATAAAATATCCTAGGCCGACAAACTGTCTCCGCTCAGAATCATTTTTCGAATACAAATATACAACGATATTAACAATAGTCAGTAATATTATAATGTTAAGCACTTATTTCGAATGTATCAAGGTGATTTAGATTGTAGTGTGTTGGCAGTTGTGAGTGAAATTAAAATTTGCAAGAACTGAAGATTTACCAAAAAATGGTATCGACGCTCTTCAAAAATGTAACATATTAATTTTCCATTCTACTTCTAATTTCTACAGATCTTAGACTATTAGCAACTCCCCCAGTTACACCTGCTAGCAGTAAACGATCTTTTTCAACCTTAAAAAGATTGAATCATATCTGCGAAACACCACATGTGAAAATAGGTTAAATGGTTTGGCAATGATGAATAGGGGCTCAGTAAGTTCCTACACGAAACATAGCAGGTAAGGGGGTACATACGTAAATTCCCACACGAAAATTTGTTTGTTCTGTAAAAATAAAGTCTTTCGTAAAGTCAAATCAATTTATTGAAATGAAACTATCTATAAAACAACCTTTTCTATCTCGTAGGTATTACTGATCTTTATTACTTAGGTAACTAACATATATTGAATTATTAAAAAACATTAATACAGTTGGAATAAATCCAAATAAATTTGTCTTAGACTTCGAGATTTCAATGCACCAAGTAGTAAATATTATATTTCCGAAAGCTCAAATATGGGGATGCCGTTTCCACTTGGGCCAATCTTGATACCGTAAAATTCAAAGCTTAGGGTTTGCACAAGAATTTAATTTTGCAAATAATGAATTAGGAAAGTGGCTGGTACATATATTTAGTTTACCACTTCTCAATCCAGTAGAAGTTGGAGATTGTTTTATAGATAGTTTCATGGCTGAAAAACCAGTAAATAATAAAATAAATGATTTTTGAGATTATTTAGTGACGAATTACATCGAAGATACCAGTACGTCGGACGTCCCCCCCTAGTATTTGGGCTAGTGCTAGTTCTGATACAAGTCAAACGATTGCGAATGCGAAAGTTTCCATTCTGAATTCAACTCAAATTTTTATCATCATCATCCGAATATATTCAAAATAATAGAAGTTTTAAAAATGTTTCAAACAAATACATATATAAAGATAAGAACATCAGATTTCATTATATATTTCGACTAGATTCAATTAAAAAATTGATTGGACTTTTTTTATGCAACACAAAAACAAACAAATTTTAACCACACCAACTTCGTTTAAGTTGTCAGTCCTAAGTCTGAATAAGGTGGGAAGGAAGTTTGTATTCGGTATAATTTTTTTTCATGTGGGAACTTACGTATGCATACCCTTGTGCGATTTTTACCTGCTATATCTCGTTAGAGAACTTACATTCACCCGATGAATATAATATACATTGAAATAACTATAGACCCTGATGATTTCCTAAATAAATTAGAGACCAAAACAAGAACATTACGGTTAATGTAAATTATGATGTAATCAAAATAGGTACTTTAAATAGGCATTTAGTACAACAAAATTAAAAATATGTTTTTGTATAGACCTAAACCGTAAAAAAATGTCGATGCTGCGCTATTGCAGCCTACAGTAGCTGTGTTGTGTATTGGGATGTGCATCAAGTGTCTGCCGGATACGCATGCACCACAACAGTGGCTGATTAAACCGCTAAAACTTTGAAGATGGCGTTCGATAAAATACTGTATACTACTATATCTAATTGGACGCAAGTCGCATACATTATCATTTTAAGAAGTTTGGAATAGGCAATTTCTTGAAAAATAAAAATTAGAAATTCCTATATATATATCTATTTAAGTTTTAAAATGTAAATCAGTATCATATAACGTATCAGTCTCGATCACACCATTGATAGTTGTTGCGTGGTTTTAGCTCTAGTAGTCTATTGAATTAAACCGAATAGGTACCGATGACCATCCTGCCGATATTTCATTTCACTTGTACCATATGCGCCATATGGCATAATGGGAGAGACTTTAGAGGCTAAGCTCCCTCAAACATTTCTTAAATATTTTTTAAGCTTATTCAATATATTATAGTAGGGCATCCCCCCTACAAATCATAAAATGAACTTCTATCAGTCATCAGTGAATGGTTGGTTTCATTACTCAAGACTCCTGGCTACTTAATATTCACCACTTGCGCAATAAAATAATTGTGTAATATATAAAATAAATGTAATATTAAAAATGTTAATAATAAAAACAATATATTCAAGGACACGAGTACCGATTTGATGATATCAAATGATAATTTGTTCGGATGCGAAGATAACTTAGGGTTAGGGGAGGGTCGGCCCGAAAATTCGCCATGTGCGAAACAATTCCTCTTTACTTGGGCACAATAAAGTTTCAATATCATCGTTCGAAAAGACGGCGTTTCCGAATACCAACGTCGTGCCAAAGAAATCGCTCGGGATGCTGCGCGGCAACGTGTGGAATCGCAACTCGCGAAGGTATCGGCAACGGTGCCCCTCCGTCCTGACAAAGAAAGAAAAGCGACAATCGCGCTCACCGCGTCCGCACTCCGCCGATAAGTGATGGTTATGGCCAGCGTGCGTATAATGGCTTAATAATAATATTATACTCCTCACAATATTTTACTCTTCTCGCGGTTGTACTCGACCGCCGACCGCTGCCGACCACTGCCGAAGATCACGTCCACCGTTCGCGTTTAGCAGCAGTAGTAGAAGTAGTAATAGTGGTAGTGGTAGTGGTAATAGTATTTATTTAGTAATAGTAGTAGTAGTAGTAGTAGTAATAGTAGTAGTATCAGCAGTTGTAGTAATCCACGGGTAATTCCCTCCTTCCTCTTTTCGGCCCACACACACTACCTACTTATAAACGTTCGTATGCAGCAGCTGATCGACGCCGCGGCCCCTGCGAGCGCGTGTTGTTGGTAGTTGGTTATTATTTGTTTTTTTTTTTTTTGTTTGCTCTCAATGTTCAATGTTCATTAATCCCATTAGCTACAGACGGTTATTAATTGATATAACGTTCTTGTCATCTAATTTTTTTTAAATTTTGATTTCGATTTGAATTTCGTCGCGTTTTCTTCCCGTCCGCCACCCGTGTCTCTTGCACTCGCGTGCTCTCGAATTCCCGCCGTCCCGCAACGATAAAAACAACAACAACAATAATAATAATAAATATAATGTCTCCGTCAAAGTCGGTGTCGTACGCTGTGGCGGTCAGTCTGGTCAGTGGCCTGTTGCCGTGAATGGAGTCGTGTGTGCAACAGTTTAATACGTTTCGTTACACACCGTTATTATCACCGTAGGTGTGAAAAGTGGGTACAGAGCGTGGCTGTCGTCCATTACTTCCGATAACGACCGAGTGACCGATCATCGGGGTTTTGTTTTTTTCGCCTCGTCGTCGATAATCGTCCTGCTGACGGTGTTGTGCTCCCCCCCACGACTGTTCGGACCCCTTCGTATCCATTACACCCGTGACTGCCGATCGCGGTGACAAACGCAGCGGCAGTAACGTTTGCGCTCGCAATCAAGCGAAATATGAACAGTGAAAATGTGGTGTTTAGTGAGCCAACCGAACGCAGTCGTTATAGAAGTCAGGCTCGACCACAAAGCAAAAGGTCTGGAGTGCCTGGAGAAGGTAAACGAAACGTATTTAGCTTACCTTTACCTAGTTAGCAAAACTTACTCTCCAAGAGAGAAAAATATAAATATTAAAATTCACATTTTCCATTTTAACAGTAATTTTATATTATTTAAAATTGTCTATACATTTTTAACTTCATTGATAAATTAATCCAGAAATGTATGAATATGATAACACCAACAACTGTGGTGCCATTATGCTTGTTACAGCTGTCGTGATAGCACTCAACAGCCCAAACATTTTCTTCCCAATATGTGTGAAAAGTGAAAAATAGGTATTTGGCTCTAAACGCTCTAGTTGACCAGTACAAAAAAAATATGTTAAAAATGAGGCTTATCAAATTGATCTTAATCACATATTAATACGTATTAATAGGCATTCTAAATATTATGATATAGATTATGATTGAGTTTGGTTCTTTATGGTTAAAATTATAAAAAAATATAAGTTATTAGGTACCTACTTATTTATTAATTATAATAAAGTTTGTATTTTATAGTTTTGAGAACATTTTTAATTTCCCAGGAGTATTAAAAATATCTCCTTCGCCACTTATAAGGTTCACAAGCCATCACTGAAATATTATTGTTTTTTGCTCACTTCCAATTATTCCATGACTATAATACATCACAAATAGAACATTTTTTTGTTGATGCTTGAACGCCTTTTGGTAAGGTAATGTTGAGGATAATGTACTTTTATTTTATTTGAAAATATTCTTGCAACTGATAGTACCTAATTCCGTAGAAAACATTTTAAATAATAGTAATTTGAATACTTATAGTTCATGCAGGTATATTAAGAGTAATATAATCAGAGGCTACCTATATGAAGGCCAGTGGTGACATGAACTTTTTTTCCCATGAAGCAACTACCAATTTTTTTTATTCTTTGCTCTTTACTGGTAACACACTTTATACACAGGTCGTATGTGACTATGTGAGTATAAATTATAAACTAGTCTAGCTGTCTAGGTCCTAGAATCTGGAATCATTGGGATACCCACTCTCACTTTTGCATGAGGCGGCCGCCATTGTTGTGGGTCACTTACTTTTCATCAAAAATACATTTTAAGTACCAATAAGATATTATTAATTTTAGTTCTGATATTTCCAAGTTGTTTCATGAAATACAAAATTACAATATAGTATTTAGAAAATGGTGCAGAGATCTCCTTAACTAAAAAAAAAAAATAATAATAATAATAACAAGTCAATAGCAAGTGTCACTACTGTGTGGCTTCTTCCAACAACTCATTCACGTCTTTGTAAATTAGCCCATATTCTTATTGTGTCTCTGGGTACAGATGGTATATTTCTTATTAAAATAAAAAAATATATAGTATTTGACGGGGTATTTGATGAATAAACTAAAGTTTTTAAATTTGTCTTGATTATATTCCTGTGTCTTACAACACAGCAGTAAGAAGTTTTTAAATTGCTAGATGAGTACAAATGTTTCAAAGAATATCAGATTAGTAATGACTTCAATAAAAAAAAAAAAATTTATCTTGAATTATTTTGTGGTTAAAATGATTAATATGAAATTTAATTACTTTAATATGTAGGTATTGTTTATGTTATGTGTATCTAACACTAGTAACACCACATAATATGCTATGTATGTAGATTGGTTGTTATCCAATGTGAATAAAAAGTTTAAAGTTGAGTTTTTTCTAAATTTTAATACTGTTTTTAATATTTTAATGTGGGTAATACAATTACAAACAACCTACCCACATCATCTAAGACATTTTATTGTATTTATGATCTTGGTTGAGGTTCTTACATTGGAAATTGGCTGTATCTATCAACTGAACTATAAAGGGTTCTGTGTAGGTATTTAATATGAATTCCTCCTCCTCCGTGTGCATATTTTTACGATTTTAAACTGGTGGTAATATAGTAGATATACATTTAAACTTACATTTAACTATTATTTTGTTGCTATTGTATACTATTTTGTATTTTAATTTTCTTAGTGTATTTTTAATATACAGTCATTTTTAAGCTATTAAAATTCCATTCAACAATAATAATAGTTCTTATCTACTATATGTGCATGATGAAAGTGCTTATTGCTTTTTTTTAACCTATTAGTAAATTTAAGTTTACATCAATAATATTACAATGTAAATAGCCAGGTAAATAGGTACCTCAATTTTTGGAAACTTGTAGATTTAATATTATAATATATTTTTTTCATTGTTTGTATAGGTACCTATCCGAGGCTTGATTCTGAAAGCATAGGTAATTAGATAAATTAATAAATTAATAAATTTTAGTTATGTCAACAAGAATCATACCTCTTGAATTTTAAATTGAAATTACTTAGGTGGGTAGGTAGGGTGGTATACAGTTAAAGTATTTAAATATATTGTAAAGTTAAACGTTTGTAGTCGATGGATATTTTAGTATAAAATGTTATTTATTGATACTAAAATGGTTGAATTAGTATAATATATTAAATATACTTATACTCTGCTCCCAACTTGAACAGTACCATTTTGCACATGCAAACTAACTGCGGCTCAGCCGACAGTGACTAGTCCGAGGCCCCATTTCCCTCTTTTTGTTCCTCGATGGCATAGATTGTATATTTATATATTATAGCATCGACTGTTGCTGAATGTAACAAATATTAACAAGCCGTTGTTGTTGGGTGGAGGATATGTGAGATTGCATGTTTTGGTCAGATTACGATAATGTTCTCTCCTGGCGCAGAGTATATATATGTACCTACTCACATACCTGTATTATTTATTTAAAATTATTGAGAAACGATTTGTTATGTTCCTACTGCCTATAAAAAATTATATTTAGTTGAAAAAACTTAAGCTTATGTATTTATTAGATCCTATAATTTCATTAAATAGCGAAATAATGAAAATTAAATGTTGACTGTGATTTATATAATTATGTTTATCAATTGATATTCTGATTTATATTGACTACTTAGGTAGGTACATAATATTTAATAATTTGTTAAAATACAATTTACTATTTATCTACTTAGATTTTAAAAACTGTTTATGTCCAATAGGTATGTGAATGTTTGGGCATCAACAAAGAATGTGATTACTTTGGATTACAGTACAAAACTGTCAAAGGGCAAGATGTTTGGTTAAATCTAAGAAATTTGATTGAACATCAAGTGGCCGGAGTTCATCCGTATCGTTTTGCACTCAGAGTGAAATTTTGGGTACCACCACATTTATTATTACAAGAATCTACCCGGTGAGTATTAAAATTTAAGAATTATTATTATCCTATTATAGATAGTTTGATGTTATTCAACATCAGAAAGTATAAATTATAATTTATAAGCATTAATGTATTGTATTTTTAACAATAAATTAAAAATGTTTTTAAGTTCTCATAAAGAATGCTACTATACGATATCATAGAATTTTATAATAATATACTTATATAATAAAGTATGACATCATTAAAAAAATTATCATTTCTTTAATAGGTGCTTTCTATTTACTACTGGGTATTCGCAAACCTGATTAAATATTAACAAATAATAATTTTATACATAGCTATAGAAAACTTAAAATAAAAATAAAAATTTACTAGGTATTCGTAAGTAGAAAATTTATAATTGGAGATGTTTATGACTATGTACCTATTAAGATTTAACTTCAAAACTTATCTAAGTGTACACTACTATGTACAACTTAAGAAATTAAACTTCTATGATACAAAACAGTTATTTATTATATTTTGTATGTATTATAATATAAATTTAGGTATGGTACATTGGTACCATCTATATAATTCATTTTTCAAATGTACAATTACTGATTATAAATACAATTTTATTACTACAATAGTATTTATAATCATTGGTTCAATGTATAGATTAGGTTATTTAAACCAATTTTTTGTAGATATTTGATACTAAGTACTCAAAAATAAATTACAAATGTCACACTTCTTTTTCTCACGAATCACTTTAATATGTCTAGTAAATATCTAAAGCATACCATACCTTGAAACTTGAACCTTCATTATAGTTATAGTTGTTAATTATTATATTAAATAATTTTAATTAGGTAGGTATTAACTTGTCACTACCTGGAAATCCACATCGTAGACTCAAAAAGAATTGGTTTCGTGACTATTTAAATTAAATATCTTTTCTCAATTGCCCTATATAAAACAACAATCTAAGTGCCACTAATAGATAACTTCTTACTCAATAAATCCATGTTGTGTCACCCTTATCTTATATGCTTGTTGTACAAAATTTTATAGATTTTGTATGTACCATTGTAAGAAAAAAAAAGGTATTAACTTTATTAACATTTTATTTTCCCCTTTTCTCATAGTTTTTTAATATTTCTTTTTTGATTGTGATTTTATAATCAGTTTTTGAAAATTTTGCTGTTTGAGTTTTGAGGACAGTATTTTAAATTCTTAAGTTTCAGTTACTGATTTTTGAATTATTAAACTGTTTGTAAATTGTAAATTGTAATTGATTTATAAATTTGAAAGAAATTATTTCTAATTTTAGTATTTTGAGTTTTGCGAACGGTTTTTTTTTTTTGAATTCTTAGGTTTCAGTTACGATTCTTGAGGTTGTAGTAATGCAAAAAAAGTACTTGGTTTGAACTTAAAACAAAAAAATATTACAGTTCTTAACCTGGATTTGAAGACTTTTAGTTTTATTTGCAGCTATGATATTGAACCAAAAAAACACTAAGGTTTTAACCAATTTCAAAAAACTCTTTTAGAGCCCTAGTGTTAAGTAATATTAAATTTGTTGCAAAGTACCTACACAAATAAGGGTCTTTAAATTATGATCAAATTGTTTTTAATTATTAGATTTACATAAAGTGTCTTAATAATTATATTTATAGAATCAATAAATATCCATATGGTATATTAATGTAATTATTTTCTCAAAGTATTATATATAAGTAGACCACTGATTTGTATGCACTAAAAGTATTAACATATGCCATGTAATATGCAGTAAAAGTCATTAAAATATGCAATAAAAAAATGTATATTTAAAAATTGAAAATTGTATTAAGTATAAAAACATAAATGTATAGAAACACATTAGTAAGTACATAAATATTTCTGTTTAAAAATAAAATATACTAAAAAAAATAATTATTAAATAATATTTAAGTTTTACTTTGGTGAAACATTAACATCTATCTGTTAATAATACTTGTATGTCAAAAATGATCATTTAACATCTACGGAAGTTATTGGGACATATTCAAAAGAGCTTAAAATCACTGGGCCTTGATAAATTTCATCTAGTTGAACTCATTGTCTAAAATACTTAATTAATTTTATCTTCTAATTTATTTAGTAAAAAAAACCTTCAGATAAAAGCATGTTTTGACTTTCAATTTTTTAAACAGTTTTAACTAGTAATGACAAATGTGTTGAAATAGATATTGACTCATTCACAAGCGATCTATCTTTAAAAATATCATGTACTTTTTTTAAAACAATGTGATAACCTAGATCATTTTTAATGTATATAATACATATACACATTATGTTACATATAATAAGTATTTTGAATTAAGATAGCAAGACTGCTAGACTTTGTCACTACTGTGGCGTCTACCAACCAAAATTTTTTTGTGACTGTGCATTCATTGAAATATTTGATGAATAAGCATTCAAATATGCATTTATGGTCAAATCTGCAAAAATATGCAAAGTAAAAGTTTACGGATGAATTAAAATTAGTATGATTCATTAAGGTTATTTAAAAAAAAAAATGTTAAAGTGAAAAGGAAAATAATATGCAAAAACATACAAATCCGGGTTCCATATATAAGTTATGGGATTTATATGATTCAAAATAAATAAAAAGTGCTCCAATAAAGTGTTTAATGTATATAATTTAACAATATATTAATAATTATTAATCAATTAATACAATTCAATATTGTACATTATTCAGTGTTGTCAACTTAAACAGTATTAAAAACATGGCTTGGTGTGGCGCGTTGGCTGCTACCAGTCGCGGAATGGTACTGGGAGTAAGTAACGGCCACAGCTACTAGCTTCCGGATGGGTGATCACCCGGGTTCAATGGGTTCATAGTAGTTAGAAGCCTTGCCGCACATACACGTGTTTAATACCTACCGTAACAACCGTAGCAATCGTAAAAACAATCTACCCTATAATGAATTTTGTCTTGTTTCTAGTCTTGCTCAGTAATAGATTATGTATACTTGTTAGTGTGACTTGTTCTGTAAAATACTATAGAATCACATTAAACATTTTTATATATTCCAAAAGTAGTATGTACTATGTGCCATTACTTTTGAATAATTAATGCCGATCAATACCTATTTATTTGATTAAAAGTTTTAATTTGTTTTTGAAAATTTTAGTTTTACTTAAATAACTTCAGGATATAAAATGAATGGATCTGCAACATAATTTATATTTTATAATATTTTGCAGCACTGTGCTAACTTTCATTGGTACCCCAGGGCAATAATATTTTCCACCCCTATTAAACATATGTATTTAAATATTTACTTCCCTTAAAAATATTACAACTTTTGCCGCCCTAGGCACTTGCCCCTTTTGCCACGGCTCTGATTTTGTGTACTAAGATCTTAAACATTTAATTTAACTATCATTTTTATTTACATTGCAAAATTTCATTTGACTTTTATGTCAAATTTATGGGGATAAAGCAACAAAAGGAAAATGTGATAATCTGATTGTAAAATATAAAATTAATATTAGGTACTTAACTATCTAATTGTTTGTATATTTATTTTTTGTTATGTTCATTATTTAGATTAGATTTTTCCCAATAATGTTTAAAGCAAAGTCAATTAATAGACATTATATTAAAAATCAATATTTGTCTGTATTTGTTTAGCAATTTCAGTTGACCTTAGATAGAGCTAACAATTTAAAAAATTGGCTTCATGTTTAATAATTGTAAGAAACTATGTTTGTACTGTTTTAAAAACTATTTGTGGATAATGGAAAATGGGTATTGGGTACTGTGAGTACCTATGATATTATAATCATTGAACAAATTAACTGTACAAATTATATACTTATTATTTATAAGTGTTGCCGTTTATATACGTATAGTAATACTTGAATTTATTGAAGAGGATGTCTGTGGACTAATTTGTTTTCTCTCCCTGACCCATGCGCAACGTAGCACATTTTCGTTTAGCAGAACCAATCTTGTATTGTTAGCTTTAGTACCTATTATAGTGATTGATATTATAATTTATAAACAACAATGCAAAGAGAAAGTTTCCAAAATATTGTCATCCACATCGTAAATATTATTTTATTATATTATATTTTACGTGAAATGTTTTTTAATTCAGGGCTGTCAAAATTATGTTTTATTTGTACTTATTCATAAATATAAAAAATGTTGGCCTTGTGGTTCCCTTATTTTATTATTAAGTAGTATTAACAATTGTTCCCTAAATTTCGTAATGTGGGTTCAATGCTACTCGCAATGTATTATTGATTGTTATTTAGTTATACTTAGTGGTTATTGACCTTGTACACAATCATTGATTTTAGTAATAATCATTGCATTTCTCCGGCTCATATTTATCAATTTATCATGTTAGATAGCGTGATACACATGATTAATTTAGTTTTATTTCCTGGATGTATATTATTCTTATCAGTCACATCTATTTTAGGAATAAGGTACCTATCATATATATTATCGTTTTCACTCAGATTGGTGATTTGTCCTTGCACTTGCACTTTATAGACAATAGACATTAGACTATATTAAAATGGTCGATATGGGTTGATGATCTTTACTCAATACTATATAATAAAATACAACTAAATGTTTAACAAATTGATAAGCGTTCATAAACTTTTAACTTTTGGATTCAGGTAAATACAAAATTGGTAGTTTATGGTTACGTAAGGTGCTTATCTGTGACACCTACCTTTTTCATAACATTGTACCATACATGCAAAAATTTCTGTCAACGACGACCAATGGACATTCACAACCTTTGGTATTTATTTAATTTGCAATACTCAAATCGTACTCAATCAGGTTGCCCCATGCAATATTCATTTTTACACATTTATTATAATTTGTAATATTATATTAGAATAATAATTGTATTCGTATGACACCAAAAAGTACATCTTGTATAGTTGTACACGATGTAAGTTAATGGATGATAAGTTGTTGTTAAAGTAGAATTGTAAAACAATACAATTCTAAAAGCAATCCC